AGAGGGGATGGAAGGATATACAAGGAACCTAGGGGATAAAGGGAAAGAAGGAGCTCAAGAGATGTGGGACCATAAGAGAAGGGTATTATTAAGGGAGAAATGGAAAAAAATGGGGGCACCTTAAATGGGGAAACCATGGTGGAGGGTTAAACAATGTGAGAGATAAATAATGCCTAGCTAGTTTAAAAAAAAAAATAGAGGGAACCATATTAATCAACCAACCTACTGACAAATTATGCATACAACTAAGTCAAGGAATATAATATATGTCTAGGCAAGGTTTATCTGAGCATGTTTGGTCTTTGCCCAAACATTATCTACATAGCACATGGTAATTAAAAGTACCAGACTGGGGGAACTAACCTTCTTGGGTGTTTAATAGCCATACTTTGAAGCCTATACTAATTTGGTCAGAGGGACATAAAGGACAGGTTTTGCTCTTTGCCCTTCTAGGTCAACTAGTTCCAGGGGACTATGAGCATCTCTCAAAATGTCCTGTAACTGTGGTGAGTCACCTGTCCTCTTGTTCAGGGAGGCCATGGAGACCTCACCAAATGGACTTGAACCTGTGTCCAGTCTACAAAGAGGAGGGTGAACTCAGAGGAAACATCTCATTCATGCTTCCAAGCGAAGCCAGCCATGGTTGAGCAGGACCTTTGACTTATCTTCACATAGGCCAAACGGTAAAAGAAAGGAGCCAGGGGCTCCTCCCAAGCCCATGTGACCCCCGAGGAACAGATCCTCAAACGATCTTAAGAGTAAAATTGAATTGGTTAATCACTGTGTGGTGTACTGCAGAACAGCTGGGGTGCTGACAACACAGCAGACAGTAGCAGGGAAGACAGAGTAAAAGGGCTCTAGTGGGGGGGGGGATATGGGAGGTTGCCATCTGGGAAGTGGGTTTATAGATATAAAAGATAGGGATGTTCTGTGTGATATACACAAAAAATCAACAAATTTTAAAAATGAGTTATATTTGAGGAAGAAGCATAAAAATTTGCTTCATGTTAATTGGCAGAGGTGAAAAACATTTCCACTGAAATCTGCCTGATGACTTTGTATCCATACTCAGGTGCCAAGGATCCGAGTGTAATCAACTGTGACTAGTAATAACCAGATACATGGAGATTAGAGACACATGCAAACGTCTAAGCATTAATAGAATTAAAAATGAGTTTTTCTGTATTAAACAGTATGTTTTAAAATGAAATGGAGATCTTTTTTAAAGGTTAAAATCTCATTCAATTTTATGTCTTACAGGGCTTATACTGAGTTCAATATTGTATAACTGCACAAATTCAACTGTGAACCTAAAATTTTACAGCCAATTTTGAAAGAGATGTATCTTTGCTCAGGAAATAGTTATTGAATATGTTAATGCTATAATGAAATCCTTCTTTTAATCATGTGGTTATTAAATAAATAATTAAAAAATAAATTACAATTTCTGTTCCGGCTCCACCTGATATTCCAATGTCTGTGCAGTCTATGAGGGTCAGCACTTATAAATTAAAACAAGCAAGTAAGTGATATTTGGAAGAGAGATACAGAAGACACGGCATCTCTCATCCAATGAACCAAGGCTGTATAAGTACACTGTTTCCACACACCCAATTATAGAACCATGCACGCAGGACAGAACGAAGGAAAATCTGCCTAATTCATTCAGAAAAAAGAGGATAGCCATTTCACAATCAATAAGAGAACTGGAAAACCCTTTTCTAATGACAGAGACAATATTGGGGTGGGATCATAAAAAGTAGAAGGTATTATGTATTTGCAAAACAGCATACAAGTAAAATGCATTTGTAAAGAATTATATTTAACATGGTAACTATGTAGTTTAAACTGATATAAACGCCTCAACTAGATATACAGATAAAACTCCAGATACAGTCACTTTTATTCCAAAAACATCAAGGCTAACTCATCTAAGGTAGACTCATGTTTCCTCTGGCCTTGGCATCAACCCCATTTGATTTACATAAGCATCCTGATTCCTTCTGCCTACTGTCAATCATCTGTAAAACTACAGACATTGAACACAAGCTAATTAATACAGAGTGGGAAACCAAGAGGCTAAAGGCTTTGTTAGTCTTAAATGCGTAACTGATCTATTAGTTGGGGTTAGGAGGATCGCTTAGTGGTAGAGTGCTTGCCTAGCATTCAAGAGGTCCTGGGTCTGATCCTCAGGGATGCAAAACATAGTGGTTCTGAGGATGGGATGGGAGGGGTGGCAAGGGTTTCAGAGGAGGGCGTGGACTCAGCTGTTGAGCTTTCCCAAGGGGATCTGGGGGGCCAACGGTGGCTGAGGACATGGAACATGAGAGTTTTCCAGGTTGATGGGCTGGACCAGGGCCTGGATTGGGTCAAAGGTCAATGAGAAATGTCCTCCTTAGGCTCAGGTATTTGAACACTTGGGCATTTAGTGCTGGTGTTTGCGAAGGTTACCGAACCTTTCAGGTGGAGTTTGTTCAAGAAAGCACGCTACTGGGGGTGGATGTGAGAGTTCATAGACTTGCTCCACACCAGTTCTCTCTCTCTCTCTCTCTCTCTCTCTCTCTCTCTCTCTCTGCTTCCTGCCTCTGCTGGAAGATGTGAGCACTCAGCTTTCTGCTCTGGCTGCCTCCTGTCATGGCCCCTCAGCCAAGATGGACTCTTATCCCTCTGGAACCAGAAGCCCAAAGAAACGTGTCCTTCTATAAATTGTGTTTTACCACAGCAACAGAAAAGTAACTAATCCAGAAATGCTCTAACTTTAATCAAGAAAACCTGATTTCTTTCAAAGGGATATTTCTCTTAACCAATTAAAAAAAGACTGTATAATATTTTCCTTGACAAGTGGAAATTGGAATTTTAAAAATATAATAAATAATTTTTCTTGATAGTCGAAGTTACAGATCAAAAGAAAAAAAATATGATGAATCTAATCTACGACTGTCCAAGCTGAAATTTCCCAAATTCAGCATTCCTGAATATTCTCACTCCCACCCTTCTGCATGATCTCACTGAGTTTTCCTCCAGTAGCAATTTCCCTGATTGCTGTATCTGCTGAAGTGTGCATTTATGTTTTTGTATTTTTCTTTCAAAATCCACAACCATTTAAAAACAATGGTGCACTATGAGTTTTTAAAATTGCCTTGACAGTACTGCTGAGAAAATCATGAACAGTTTGGCCCTTTCAATTAGTTTTCAACTTAGAAGCAAATGTCCACAGACACACAGTCTTCAGTAAATATAGTTCAGTGATTTTTTTCTGAGAATTAAATATGAATATTACTTCTGATTATATTTGAGTAATAAGCATGCCTCCTGCTTCACAACAGGAAGAATGGCCACATTACCTCACTTTTAAGTTCCCTTGCTGGGGCTGTCCATCGTAAACAGACAGGATGTCAAAGTCTTCCTCCAGGGCGAAGGTGTGGAAGGATAGCTGGATCCTGTTGCGCTCCCCAGTGATAATGATCCAGGTACAGTTGGCATAGTTGGGGTATCCATGGGGAAAACCTGGGCTCTCGATGGTGCCGTTGGGTCCCTGGACCAGGCCACCACAGTTCTGACCTGGGTGGAAAAACACAAAACGGACAGCACATTATCTTAGCTGTCAATTTTAAGAATGTCTCTACTATTTTTGTGATTATAATGATAAACAATTACAAGGATATACTGGAGGAGTCTTGTGCACCAATTCAGAGCTAGGTCACAGTGTGCTCAAAGATGAGAAAGTAGAGTCTGAAGAGGAAGTGACGCTGCCACCCCAGAAGTACGGCTTCAGTTTTAGACACACAGCACATTTTTGGCCAATGATCTGCAGAGTATGTTTAAGAATGTCTCTACTATTTTTGTGATTATAATGATAAACAATTACAAGGCTATACCGGAGGAGTCTCGTGCACCAATTCAGAGCTGGGTCACAGTGTGCTCAAAGATGAGAAAGTAGAGTGTGAAGAGGAAGTGACGGTACCACACGCGGGAACTCACACCGGAAGTACGGCTTCAGTTTTACACACAGCACATTTTTGGCCAATGATCTGCAGAGTATACTGAATGCCTTCTATCTTACGTTCCTTGTTGGAGACACTGAGTTGCAGATAGAATCAGCATTCTGAAAATGTATCCATACATGCACGGGGCATCGCCAGCCTGCCCATGAGCCTGTTCTATAGTGGAGGACAAGGCACCACAAGAATGGACTCAAGACCACAGAACTTATCCGTTTGAAGATAAAAGGCACCAAACAAGAACATTTAAAGATGCTTGAAAGAAAGCTCAGCACAGCACAGTAAGGAACACAGGACGCGATCAAAACTAATGTCCTACTCGACACAGGTGGGCACACAAGACAGGAAGAAGAGTGTGTGACAGAGTTGTGGGGTGAGTAAAGGAAGTCTTTAGACTCAAAGCTGAGCAGGAAGCTTGGCCTCCCTGGGCACATACTCAGGCCATCCTGAGCTCTTCAGGCTCCAAATTGAGCCCTTACTCCGTGGGGAGAACCAAGACTACTGTAGGGATTTAAGATGATTTGGTAGAGGGAGAGTGACGGTCATGTGCTGGCCACTGAGCAGGAACAGGGAAGAGAAGGAAGGACAGAAAGTGGACTGAGGGGTTGCTTCCTCCCTGTTTCCCAGGATGCTCTGCGTGTGTGTGTGTGTGTGTGTGTGTGTGTGTGTGTGTGTATACGTGCTACTGACCATACTCCAAGGGTGGTGCTGACATTCCCAGACTACTGACTTAGTTCCACACATCAGTCCTTTCAAGGGAACTACAGGGTTAGGCTTCCTACAAGGACCCTCTGCCATAAGCACCAGTCTTGAGAGATGAGTAACAAGCACACACACACTCCGCCAATCCCCGTCTCCCTGCTAGCACACAGAGGCCTCCCCCAGCCCCACCAGTGCCTCTTCCTCCTGCTCCTCTATTCCTTCCTTCCTCCTCCCTGGGCACAAAGATCTCCTGCTGACACATGCCTGCTGCCCCTCCCCACAGCACTGCCCCCCTACGCACTCGTTCAGTGCGTGCCCCTTGGACCTCTGGGGTTACATTTTCTGTCCCATTCCCCCATCCACCCCCACAGTCTGCCTACTGTGGGAAGCCCAGATGCCACTGGGACTCTGCAAAAGGGCTGACACTATGGTGTGAACAGGCAGAGTGTTCTCACTTCCCTGATGTCCTGGGCCACTTTCTGCTGTAATATCACCAATACTGAAGGAAACAGAACATTCCTCTTAAGTTACTTTCAGTATCTTCTTGGCTTTTGAGACAGCCATGGAGAGATTCTTGACCCTGCACCCTCCCTCCCGTCTCAGTTGGCCCGCTTCCCACCAACACGTTGTGCATGCTTAAATGTTTTGACATCAAGTCTGTGGAGGAAGTTTCCAAGGCACCTGAGCACACTCAGATTTCTGCACGGGGTGTAAGCACTTGAATACATGTATTAGCTTTTACTGTTGTGCTGCAAACAGAGAATTATTTTCAACCACATTTTAGAGTTAAAAAAAAAATTCACCATAGTAGGTCTCAGAGAGCTCAAATCTTTCATGGTAATATTATCAAATACTTGTGGGAGTTTGCTAAATCTTAATAAAAAAGATTTAATGAGAGGGATTTATGAGTTTAAAACCAAAGAACTAATAAGAAACCCATTTTCCACTAAATTTAAATCTAACAATAACACTGTAACAAGTAGATATTAAAGCTGTAGGGATTTGAAAGGTCTTTAAAGGAAAGAGATTTTCTGGTTTATCTAGCAATTCTTACTTCATAGTATATAAAACAATAGTGAAGACTTGATTATAAATTGGGGGAAAGAAAAACAAATTCAACAGAAAATGTCAGCTGGAAAGTAGTTACTATTAGAGACCCGTCATGTTGCACCAGATTATCAGATAAAAAGAGTTCCTGAGGAAGAACTTTTAGGCTGCCTTCGGGTACCAATTAGTACAGTGCATTTTCCAGGATGAGTCGCATTTGATCAGTAGACAGGCTTTTCTACAGGCCTGACAGAAACTTCAGGAATGGCTCGAGAGTTCTCAGCAGAGGTACTCTCTTTCCTAGATGTACTTTGCAATCAAACAAGCTTTCAAAGGCTCCATGTCTGAGATAGACTGATTTGGTGTAGGTAAGAATATCCAGAAAAATCTTGAAAAAGAACCAAATTGGAACTTTCTTCTCCTTACTGCTCGACCTGATTGTAAGGCTGTGGTAATTAAGATAGGACTTGATTGGTGACAGCTAAGAGGTGTGGCTAGCAGAACAGAAGAGAAAACCCAAACACACACCCAGGTACGGACACAACACTTAAAGCAAAGATACTGCTCTGCACTGGAAACAGGATGATGAGCATTTCAGCACAGGGAAGAAGATGGACTTCTCAGCATCCAGGATGGAGCCAGCTGTATAGCCAACAGGAAGAATAAACCTTGATTCCTGTCCCGCAAAGTCTACAAGGATCAATTCCGGATGAAGTAAAGACCGAAATATGAAACATGAAACATAATGTTTCTACACGGCAACAATGCAAAATTAAACCTTCAGAGATATGAGCATTTTTGAGCTGGAGCAAAAAATTAATCACAGAAAGACTTGTAAAGGACATCTGAAAGGGGAGGTGTTGGATCCATGACAGAAGTCCCCATAAGATGCAGAAGTTAGTGAGAAAAGGGAACATCACAGGAGCACTGCAGATCCCTGGGGACGCAGGCTGGGAGAGGGGATGCTCTGAACCTGGGAGATGTGTGGATCTAAAAGTAAAGTGCCACTGTGACTTGATTGCTGTGATCATTTCACCCTGGTTTCTCCCATCCTCGGGGTGACAGGAAACAGCATGTCCACGAAGGAAAGAAATAATCACTTCCTTCACCTTCCTTAATGGAAGCTGTTGCCCCAACCTGCTCCAATCCGACCAGCTTTTGATCTCAAGTGAAGTGGAAATGTGCTGGCCACAGAGGTGACATCTGCTGATCTATGAAAATATCTTGAATTGAACTGAAACAAAAATAAGTAACATGAACTACACTGAAGTAAGCATCTGTGTAACACTGCTCAACAGCACTGACCAGTCACAGAAAGTTCTCTTGATTTAAGCAGGAAGGAATAGTGACTCGAAGGACACTTCTTACTGACAATCACTTTAACAAGCTGAGTCTCAGAGTAATCTTCTCTATGTAATGTATGCTTCCTGACTCACAGAAATAATGGCTGATGCCATTCACAATTCAATCGCCTTCCAAACTGATATTCTCCAGGCATAAAGTGTTTGCAATTAGTGAGCAGAAATAACTTAATTTGCTTCCTTGTCATTGGTGTTTAATTACTGTATTACTCTATATCCTAAATAAAGTTTGATTCAACGGAATGAGGTACTGTTGTTGAATAAAACAAAGTCATAAATGAATACACATAGATTATTTGTGATATCTGTATACATTTTTGGAATTTACATGCGATTTCAAATACAGAGAGTATGGGATTTATCCACAGTCCAACCATAGCAAATCCCTACGCTAGGATTTTCCTCATATATTTTTAGTGAAGGTTTTCTTCTATTTTCTTAAAGCAATTTAGTGCTTGGTTTTTGTACTGTTGTGAGCATTTGGCCTTCTACAGAGCACCTTCAAAGAGTTTTTAAAAGTTTTCCTTTAATGTAGTGTGTATCATGGATAGGTGATTTTGGTTGTCAACTTGACTGTATTTGTAATTTTATGAAACATACCACTGAGCATGTCTTCCAAGGCATTCCTAGAGAGGTTAACCCAAAGAGGGAAAATTCATGCTGAAGGTCACCAGGATCATCTCATGAGCTTGGATTCCAGAATGAAAATAAAAGGGTGGGTTGAGAAAGTGAGCTGACAGGAGCAGACACTCTTTCTCCTTCCCCACTGTGCACGTAATGCTCCAGCCGTCTCGTGCTTCTGCATAACCCCATCTCTATCTCGGTGGCATGTGTCCCCTCAGTCCATGAGCCAAATCAGCCGACTCCTTCGTTGTTCATGCGGCTCTCATCAGTTACTTATTCCTAACAACATAAAGTAATACACAGAATTGCCACCAAGGGTACAGTTGTTGCTTTAACAGACCTGATCATGTGGGCAATAGCCTTTACTGCAGGTGTGTGGGATAATGTGGAAGACTCAGGAACTGTAGGTTAGAGAAGCCATAGAATGCTGTAAATGGAGCTTAGTCAGCTATAGTACTGTGAGTTCATAACAGCAGAATGCTAAGCAAAGTGTCAGCAGTGCAGACCTGGCTCGTGAGATTTCAGAGGCAAACAAGGACTCTATTGGGAACTGGGTTAAAAGGCATTTGTGTCACATTCTGGCAAAGATTCTGGCTGTCTCCTGCCCATGTTCTGAAAAACCAAGTGCAGCTGCATTCAGAAGTCGTTGAGCTAAGTTGGTAGGTGGAGGAGTCCTCCGGACAGCAGAGTCTGGAACCATCCATGCTGCAGAATGACTTGTGCTCCATGTTCTTATCCACATTACAGTGAGAAGGACCAGCAAATCAAGCAGAAAATCATAGAAATGTAGACCATGAGTTAGTTTAAATTTGCAGACAGTCACCAT